ATATATATATATATATATATATATATATATTGTGAGTAACTAATTTAGTTCACGAACGGTTAGAGTGAAACAATGTTTGTACTTTATAGGATCGAAGTAGTGCAATAGCTTACAAGGTTGTGAGGACTGATCATCCTACAACCTTGACATATATACCTATAGCTAGACATTGCTTGCCGTCAGACCCTCTGGTCACTGACGCAACATCGCCTTTCTAGCTATGTATTCCATCATGTTTTATACTCTTCTTCTATTGGTCTACACTTACCAAATCAGCTGTAGGCATAAACCAATATCATAAGACACACAACATTTTTCCATGTCTCCATCACTCTAAAAAAAACACCCCACACACACCCGAACCATCAAGCATGCACCAGAAAAAATTCAGTTCTGCTCACGAGCCTTCAAGCTCACTACTGTCTGTGGACCACTCCCATATTACAACCTCCCACTATGACCACATCTCTGTCATGTCATAGGGTGGTCATATCCCCAGTGTGTCCACCATGCTAGTCCGATGTATATCCACAGGGACGTGGTGCCGTACTCTCTCTCTGACCTCTGCCAAGTGAAGTTCCCGCCTACACGCTACTACTCATGCTGCCAACTACGCCGCTCACTCAAATCACTACCGCCTGGGGATCTCAACGCCTTCCAATGTTAATGGAAACATACCCCATCTGCGCAACATGCAGTTGCGAAACGTCGCGTCCCTCGAGAACCTTAAGCAAGTAATCACTCGCGACCGATATAACCGTCGTGGCTGATTGACAGGAAACTTATCAATGATAATCGCCTCATGATTCATATGCAACTAAATCTGACTGAACGGAGCAGATGCAAACGGCAAGTCAACAGGCTACTTCGCCTGATCAAAAACCCCTTCCCATCTGCCCCACACAGAACTCATCGCATCAGCCCACCGACTTGCCTTCGCTGTACGCCTCAGCCGATGACCTAACTCCTGTCAATACTCATAAGACGTCTCCCGCATCGTAGACGGTTGTAACAGCCACGACTCATACCATCCACGCGGCCGATAGCTGACCACCTGCTGCCTTTCCGGAGGCGGCATATCAATCTCTTGAACATGCGCCTTAAGCTCATCGATCATATACGAACGCACAACCATTGGGCAGGACAGCAACAATTTTGGCCGGACCATCATACCGCGTAGCCAACGCATGACCAGCACCCCGGATTTGGTACCGCACCCAGTCACCTACAGCGAACGCTGGCACATCCACACGATGCAAGTCAGCCACCCTACGCTGGGACTTCTGCGCACGCAGATCACGCTGCACTGCAACCGCATCACGCACCATAGCCTCAGTGCCACGCTCTGTTAACAGCATTGCCAGAACGCTCTCTTGCAGCTGCTCCCGCTGAGAATGCAGAAATGTGCGCCCTGTCATGTGAAAGTACGGGAAACCCCCAGTAACCGAGTTCAGCGTCGCATTGTAAGTCCGGACCACATCATAAACTGGGTATACCCATGACCCTACGTCCGCATCAGCAGCCGCCACTTCACGTTTGAGCCAGTCCTTCACCACACGAATGAGAACCTCCGCTCTCCCATTTGCTTGGTGACGATCGATCGACACATAACGCGGCACAATCTGTCTAGCCTCACAAAAGTTAACCATAGCATTAGTGTTGAAAACAGAGTCAGCGTCCATCGTAATTCTTTGTGGCACTCCCAGCGCCAAACCTTGCTCCTCCAAGAAGCGCACAGCGTCCCTAGCAGCAACACTAGGCGGAAAGACCCGAACAAACACCATATGAGTAAGTGCATCCACCGCCAAAAGGGAATACTTCATACCCCTCGCATTCGTAGTTGGGAACTGAACAAAATCCATGCCAATCTCAGCCATAACTGAATCCGGACGCTCCGGCTGCTGGAGCAGCCCTCGAGTCAGTCCAAGAATAGGAGAACCCTCCTGACACGGCCCACAGCTACGCCTAACATACGACTAACATGCTCACACTTCGTCCGCAAGCCAATCCAACCCCACAACTCTTTCACGAGATGGATTAAGCGATCCGGAGCAACATGAGAGAACAGCTCATGCGTGTAACGCAAAACACGCATGACAACAGGACCCCCCACTTCAATACCATACAGCCCAGATCGCACGTCTTCGAGAAACTCCCTTTCTGTGCGTGGACCAAAAACCGGTAACCCAGGAGAAGCATCCACTCCAGGTGCTGCCAACTGCTCCCGAGGCCTGGCCAACACGAACGCCGGCTCCTCAGTCGGAGGTTCACCGATAGCAGTCACCTCCACCTCAACAGCGGATGCCCACAACCGTTGCGCACGAGTCATGACAGCAACTGCACGGATCTGATGCGCCTCAAACTCACGCTCGGCCCGACTCATGGCCTCCTCCAACACCAACTCCCCAGGCATGACAGTGGTCGTCATGATAGTACATGAACCCACCACATGCTCAACTGTTTGTAGGGAAAGCTCTCCTAGCCTGGGGTCACGTCCACACCGGACAGGCTTCGTAACTACACCAGCCTCTGCCGGAGCCACGCGATCCTGCACCATACAGGACTCCAAGTCATCCGGTCGCACCGTCAACGCACCAACCACAGCACTGGTCACAGGCCGATGCGCGTCCACCACCACCCAAAACTCCTCAGCCAACGTGAACTTCTCACAACGAGGACTAAGATGACAAATTAACGTCACAAACAGCGGCGGCGGTATCGCCTCACGTCCATGCTTCAAGAACACACCATGCGTAGGCGGAATGATAATTGGCGTATCCGCCAACAATGGTACCAGCTGCTTAAACCAAGCAGCCTTCGGATAGTACGACATCACCAGCGTCGCAGTGGCT